TTTAAGAAATTAAAAAATTGCAATTCATTGCAAATTTTACTTCTGAACAAATATTTCTTGTTTTTAATATAATTGCCTATAAATATTGTCTAATGAACTAGATTAATAATTATATACTTTAATTTTTTTTTCAAAAATTAACAAAATATTCAACTAATTTAAAACTAATTTTAAACGAAACTAATTTTGACAGTTACCTGCAGACAAGAAAATGTAAACAAAGGGGCGTGGTCAAAACTGAAATGGCCATAACTTCATCAATTTTGCTCTTATTCCAGAATTTTTTTTTTTAATGTTCAGTTAAATGCCCAGATTTCAAAAATATAAAATGTAAAAGATCGATTTTTTGACAAATTTTTGCTTCTTTGAAAGTGTTACCATTTTTGTGTGTCACCATATTCATCCACAAGTGTCCTTGTCACCATTTTTTGGTACATATTTTGAGGTAAAGGTTAAAGTAATTCTTAGTCCCGTCATCGTAAATAGTAACCAGCGGTAAAAGTAACCAGTTTTATTTTAATGTAATAAATAATACTGAAAAATTAGCTATTACTTCTCAGTGAAAATTGATAATTAATAATAACCAGTAATTATTATTAGTAACCGATAATTATTATAAATAGCCAGAAATTATTAGTAGTAGCCGGTTATTATTAATAAACTGTAACTGTTATGAACAACAAATGAAAAGTATTCAATCGGCTATTATTAATAATCTTAACGACTATTATTAATATAGGCTACTAACTCAAAATTGGGTAGGCTCTTACCTTGGTGGCTCAAGTGATAGGGCACTCGCCTCTAATGAGGTCACCCGGGTTCGAAATCCATCGGTGGCTGGTCGATACGAATTCCACATCCAACTCGCACAGACCGCAGTGTGGACGCAACATATTCTTAGTCATAGACGGATCATGGGTTAGAGTCCCCTAGCTGACAGGCTAATCGTCGAAGTTTTCATGGTTTTCCTCTCCGTGTTGAATAAATGCGGGTTAGTTCCTTCAAAAGAGTCCTCAACGAAAACAAATTCCTCACCATACTTTTATCCAAGAATTCACTTGTCTTCTGGATTGGGTTCAAAATTGCAAGGCTACGGAGTTGAACATCGGTAGCCATAAATTCAAAATTGGGACGACGGTTATAAAATAAAATAAAATATCAACTATTATTAAAAAAAATCTCTGACATTATTAATTATCATTACATAATTGACGGTCAGCATCGATAATTACTTTGGCATTTATTATTATTAAATGAATAAATAGAAAAACTCTCGATAATTATTAACTTCATTAAGCTATTTTTTAGTTATTACTATTAAAAGTTATAACAGAATAAACAAATTGTCATTGACATAGATATAAAAAGAGTCATTAGAGCAACTAATTGCAATTTTATGCTAATAATTAGGTTTCGAACCCCCTGTTACTAACAGCAAGGTTTTGGTAACTCATGTATAAAACTTTTCAGCAATTTTTCACGCATGAAACTGTGAATTATTATTTTTTAAAAAATAGTGGCAATTATTTGAAGTAAAATAAAAGATTCCCTGTTTAATAAAATTAAAAATTATGAAGTGGAAAGAATCGTAGAAAGCATAGTTGCGAAGCAAAAAGATTACACAAGAGTATTAAAAGTATAATACAACAATTTAATTTCTGTTTTACTTCTATTAGATATTTTGAGAAAAAAATTGTACTTATATCTGATTGTTATCTGATATCAGTAAAAAAAATTATAAAAATATTGCTTTGATATTTTTTTAATATTCCTTTGGATGCCGTTCTATAAATTAGATTGAGACATTCTTATGCAATCTCTATTGAATATTTCGCAATCATTTTTATCATCAATAGCAATCAGAAGACTTTTTTTCTTATCAGTCTATAAAATGTTAAACAGTAAGATTTATCAGCATCAAAAAAATTGAAGTAAGATACGAATTAATTTTTTTCGCAATTAATTAAACTAAGTGTCGAAAAATTTTACTGTTTTCTAAGTGAAGTTCAGAATATATATATATACTACATGCATCTGCAGCCACTATATTGTATCGTATACATTACTATATACATATACATAGATACATAGCCACTATATACATGGATTAAAATATTCTGAAAAATATATAAGTAATTAGGAAAATCGTTAAAAGTCTTGAAGTTAATTTAAAAGATGAAAAAAAAATCAAATGCATTGATAAAAGTATAATCAAAGGAATAGATAAACTAAACGGTATTTAAATCAAACAAGTTTAAAGTTCCTAAAATGCAGCTTGATTAAGAAGAAATTATGTATCATAAATTTGAACATCTAATACTTAAGGACAATGCATTGAGACATCATCTCTACACGATTTCCAAAGTTTCCTTTCGAGTCACAATGGGGAGATCTTTTCAACTCACAGTGAATAAATCTTTTAACAGTTAAAGAAAACAAATAATTCATTAAAATTTACAGAGTTTGTCATATTTTTTGTTTAGTTTTGTTTATTATATCAATGTTAAGATTATATCTATAGTTCTAACTGATAATAATAATTTTTCTTACTATTTTAATGATAATTCTTACAATTAATAACTATGCTTGCATTACATAATTATTTTTGCTAATTATCTTACTATTATTCATGCCATAATAATAATTATTTTTGCTATTATTAGTATTATTAATTTGCTTGATCTCATTATTAATTATTGAATCAAAGCAAGATCACGTGAGCTTATGTTACTTAAAACCGGCATTATAAACTTATAAATTAGTTCTGCTGAACAATATCTTCCTCTACGACAGTGTTTCCCAAACTTACGACATTTGTGTACCCTTTCTAAATTTTTCGTAACGCTGTGTACCATAATAAAGAAATGAATAAATTTTTTACTATAAAAAAATTGCACAAAAGTTGAAAATCACAACTGGCTGTTGACATCACTCATTGTTAACTGTTAACTCTGTAAAAAACAGCCAATAGAAAAATACATAATCATAAATTTTCATGGCTAGCTTTGTTTTTAAATAAAATTTTTTGAAATTAATTGTTTGTTGCAAAATATTTCGCATAAGAACGCGTACCCCCGCTGAACTGATCCCGTACCCCTGAGGGTACGCGTACCACACTTTGGGAAACACTGTCTTAGAGGATGCTAAATTTAGAAAAATGCTGTTTATTTTTAAATTAATTTTAGACTCACGCACGTAACATCGTTATTTTAATAAGAGACAATTAGAAAATCAATCAATTACAATTAATAATGTCATAGACAATTACGATNCAAGCACATAAGCGTTGCTATTGATTATTTAAAGTTCCTAAAATACAGCTTGATTAAGAATAAATTATGTATCATAAATTTGAACATCTAATACTTAAAGAGACAATGCACTGGGACATCATCTCTACACGATTTCCAAAGTTTCGAGTCACAATGAGGAAGGACATCTTTTCAACTCACAGTGAATAGATCTTTTAACAGTTAAAGAAAACAAAAAATTCATTAAAATCTACAGAGTTTGTCATATTTTTGTTTACTTTTGTTTATCATATCAATGTTACGATTATATTTATAGTTCTAACTGAATAATAATAATAATTTTTCTTGCTATTTTAATAATAATTCTTACAATTAATAATTATTCTTACATTACATAATTATATTTGCTAATTATTTTACTATTATAATAATTATTCTTACTGTTATTATTATTATTAATTTGCTTGTTCTCATTATTAATTATTGAATCATAACAAGATCACGTGAGCTTATGTTACTTAAAACCGGTATTATAAACTTATAAATTAGTTCTGCTAAACAGTATCTTCCTCTACGACAGTGTTTCCTAAACTTACGACATTTGTGTACCCTTTCTAAATTTTTCGTAACGCTGTGTACCACTAATAAAAAAATGAATTAATTTTTTACTATAAAAAATTGCACAAAAGTTAAAAATCACAACTGGCTGTTGACATCACTCATTGTTAACTGTTAACTCTGTAAAAAATAGCCAATAGAAAAATACATAATCATAAATTTTCATGGCTAGCTTTGTTTTTAAATAAAAATTTTTGAAATTAATTGTTTGTTGCAAGATATTTCGCATAAGAACGCGTACCCCCGCTGAACTGTTCCCGTACCTCTGGGGATACGCGTACCTTTGGGAAACACTGCTCTACGACATCAACAAATCGTCAACGAGTATTTGAACCTCATTATGTAATTAGTCAGTTAGGTTGGTAAGTCTTGCCATGTTACTACGCTTTAATAAACATGCTTCGTTTTCGCATGCTTTAGCATTACAGTGAAAACTCTTTAAGTATTTCCCTGATATTATAAACATTATGGACGTTCCCCTTCAATGTCAGAACAATGTATTTTTTGAAGTTTCTTTCTGCATATTTTTTACTTTATATTGGGTCGGTTTAATTTAGTTCAGTTTCCGTTTTTTGTTAATTATGTTATATGATAAACTCTACAATAAACAGAGAGAAGAAAAATCTGTGTTGATAATTTTTTGCTAACTATTTAAGTTATAACTGGAAGGAATAACGCTTATCTGTGTTTATTTTGTGCATTTTATTTCCAATTCCTGTGTTGTTTTTGCTTGATTAAATTATATATTACCTAATCAGTCTCTTGTTTTGTCCCGATATTGTGTCGGCACATGCTGCTGTGACAATATTAATATAGCATCTGAAAGCACTTACTTTTTACAGGTATAACTGTGCAGGTTGAAAAAGAAATTGTACTTTTCTTGGTTAATTTTCCTTTGTTTAATTTTTATTCGTTTAAAACTCTCCTTATTTTATTTATTTTTTTATTTTTGTATTAAAAATATTAATTGCTTTCCTTTATTTATTTAAGTTCTTTTTTGGTTCTATTTATGTTATTTCTTTATATTAAATGTTCTATGTGCGTGCAATTTATGCGCAGCTACAAATCTGATTATAACTTTTTAATTTCCTATTTTTATAAAATACACATGTTATACCCTTTTTTTTGCAGGTGCATAAAAAGTCTAACACAAGAGCTAGTGAATCTCATCCTTCTCAATATCAGAATAATCAGTCAGTACCAAATAATAAAATGTTTAGACAACAACAAAAGACTGATCAATTTAGTTTGTATGAAGTTATCACCATTTTAAGTTGTCTGGTCTTTAAGAAAGCTTTTAATGACCCTGAACTTGAACATCCTCAATTGCCCAGCCCTCCTTCAAAAGATCTTATAGTACTAACATCAGAGTGGACTGAAAAAATTGAAGAAATAACTGATCTGCTGATGGATTTAAGTACAAAGGAGAAGAAAAACTCAACTATCAATGCCTATTTGAATTTTTTACCTCCAATAATTCATTTAGCAGATAGCTTAAATTCAATATTTGGAAATGAGACTTCAAGTTCCCTCCTGAGCTCGATTTCGTCCTTCTTAGAGGAAGCTTTTCAATGTTTTTATAAATATGTACCTCACTGTTGCTTAGCATATCTTCTAGGAAACAAACTATACACAACGTACAAAGTCCGAACATTATTAAAAATGTGTGTAGAAAAGGATAAGTTATTTAATGAAATGAAGAAAATGGTCACCGAAAGAGAGGTTTTAGATGAAAATATAAGACAAATATTCTTTAGTAAGAAGAATGAAGCTTTAGTAAATCAGGTTGAAGATCTTTTTTCTGGTTATAGATCTGGTATCTACGCATTCGGAATGTTCTTCCTTGGTGTGGTTATCACAGCTCCCTCAGTATTAGAGAACCCGGCATTCCTATATAAACTTTGTCTATTCAGTAACGGTGAAACAGGAGGGAGATATCATGAAAGGTAATATGCATTTGAAGTGTCTAGATTAATGGTTTCCAACCAATAGTATGTGAGCCACTTTTGGAATGTCGAAAAAGTACAGGTCATACGCAATAAAGCTCCGCTAGTTTAAAATACAATTTTTTTTTAAATAAACGTCGCGGTCAAAAAAGTATTAGTCACGTAACTACACAGTAAAAAAATCGGGATCAAATTACGGTAAAAAAATACCTTCACTCAGAGTGTCGGTACTTTTTACTGTAAAATACTTTTTTTACCGGAACATGTAACGAAACAAAAACTGATACACCGTAATTTTCTCCGTAATATTTACCGTAAAAGTACTGAATCACTCTAATAAAAAAATATTAGGGTAAAAATTACGATAAAATATTTTACGGCAAAAATGGATTTTACGGATGATGCACCCAAAGCGCCGGTACTTATTACCAGAATTTTTCACAGTGTAAAAATCAGTTTTTAAAAAACCTTGACATTTTTATTGCTTTCTTATGACTAATGAGTTTGCTCACCGACTGCTTTGATATCCTCGCTGATAAAGAATTTTTTTAAGTTATCTCATATCTATTTTTCTTCAATCTGTTTTTAACAATGTTTTGAACAAGTGTCGGAAGAAAACTTCGTTTTCAAATAATTCGATTGTTGTGAAAAACTATACACACAAAATCGTGTAACACGAATCTCGTTTTGCATACGTAAAAGATTCTATACCATGCTTTTCTTTTCTCATTTCATGAGAAATGCCATCGCTGTTTGATTTTTAAATTCAAAATGCAAATAATTTTTGAAAGTTGTTTTGAACACAGCTTTAAACATGTGTGTAAAGAAAATTTTATTTTCAGTTGATCTGACTGTTGTGAAAAACTGTACAACCCCTTAAAATCGTGGAACGCAAATCTCGTTTTTAATTCATTAAAGAATCTAATGTCACATATTTTTTCCCTCTTTCTATGAAAAATGTCATCTCTCTTAATTTTTATTGCACTATACAAATCATTTTTTAAAATTGTTTTGTTCACAGTTTTAAACACATGCATAAAGAAAACTTTATTTTCAGCTGATTTAATTGATGTGAAAAACTGGAAAACTGCACGAAATCGTGTAAAACCGAACAAATTTTGCATACGTTAAAGAAACTGTGTTGTGTTTTTTTTCTCTTTTATGAGAAATGCTATCTCTTTTTACTTTTAAAGTTTAAAATCCAGATCAATTTTTAAAATTTTTTAAAACTCAGTTTTGAACAAGTGTATGAAGAAAACATTTTTCAGCTGATTTGATTGCTGTGAAAAACTGGAAAACGGCACAAATCTTACTTTGCAGACAATAAAGAATCCATGTCCTCTCTTTCTGTGAAAAATGTCATCTCTCCTAATTTTCAATGCACTATGCAAATCATTTTTTAAAATTGTTTTCAGCACAGTTTTAAACACATGCATAAAGAAAACTTTATTTTCAGCTGATTTAATTGATGTGAAAAACTGCACGAAATCGTGGAAAACCGAACAAATCTCATTTTGCATACGTAAAAGAATCTGTGTTATGTTTTTTTTTTCTCTTTTATGAGAAATGCTATCTGTTTTCTCGTTAAAAGTTCGAAATCCAGATCAATTTTTAGAACTCAGTTTTGAACACGTGTATGAAGAAAACCTTTTTTAACTGATTTGATTGCTGTGAAAAACTGGAAAGCGGCACAAATCTTATTTTGCAGACAATAAAGAATCTGTCTTCTCTTTTTATGAAAAATGCCAAATCATTTCTTTCTTTTTTTAAATTCAAAATTCAAATCATTTTGGAAAACTGTTTTGAGCAAGTATATGAAGAAAACTTTATTTTCAACAGATTTGACTATTTGAAAAGACCTTTAAGAAAAGCACAAAATCGTAAAGCATAGAAAACTCGTTTTGCATAGAAAACTGTAGTTTCTATGACGAAGAAACATTTTCGAAAAGCAGCAAAAATGAAATATTTCGTTCAAATCATAATAAAATCACAATAAAAATGTATAATTTTAAAAAATCAATATGCAATTTTCATTTTATCAATTTATGTCACATGATTATTAAATTATAAAAATTCGATAATCTCCAATATTAAAAAAATACTTATTTAATATTTATAAATTATTTTATTTTAGATAGCACGTGAACAGTTTTATAAGCTGTAGGTAATACGTTGATGAAAAAAGCTTGGAAACCTCTGGCCTAGAACACAAAACAATTTAGTAATCATATCTGTATGTTTACTTTTAAACATTTTGAATTAGTATCTCGTGGCAGTAATGTTAGTTTGATATTTCATATCATTTTAAATATAAAATTGTTATCGTCACTTTTGAAATTTTTATGAAACTTTATACTAATTAAGTGTAAGTTGCAAGCTAATTAAAAGGCTCTTTTAAATACCTATTATGATAAAATTAAAAAGTGTTTGCCTATTTTCATCGTTACGAAAATTGCTTTATTTTAACTTTGTTAAGGTAAATATTATTTCTAGAAGAGTTATCTTCATGATTGAATGTTTTAATTATATCTCCATGAAAAACTATCAAAATGATTAGAGAGACCGGAAAGTAATGTCGTTTCGGTCCTTTATATATTCCTTAATCTTAGGAACCAATTCTTTTTTTTTTCTATCCATTTTTTGGAATTGAAAGGCTGTTGCTAACGAGGATGAATACATTATTGATTAAAAATAAAATCTGGATAACAAATATCAAATGAAACCGAAACAACATTACTTTCCTATCCACTTAATATTTTTATGATTTAATGTGTGCCATAAGAAGATTATGACAGGTAAATAAAAAGGATTGGATTGATGAATTCCATCTTTTTACGTGAGCAATTTTTTCGTGAACATGTATATTTTTTGAGCACTTAGTACTCTAGCTTTTTAATGTAAACTGTTGTTCAAATTTCAAGAGTACTTTCATATTTGATTGAATATCTCTAGAGCTACTGAACAAATTTTAATGATCATAGAATTAATTTAATGGTTCTTAACAAAAAAAATCTTCAGTTCCGCAATTGACGGGGAATTCTAATTGGAAATTAATTTTAATTTAAATAAAATGTGTATCTTTATTTATTTATTTTTCATTTTTTTTGCAGATTTTACGGAAGTGATGATCCTTACAATTTTACGACGCCATCAAACGTGGGGAAAAACAGCCTTGGTCTTTCCTTACTTTTCGAAACAGCTATGAATGTTCGTGAACCACGCATAAAAAGAATGGCAATGGAATTTGTTCCTTCAACAATTCCACAATATGCACTTGAAACTACCACTCTACTGGACTTTCACTATGCGTATAGAGAATTCAATACTGTAGTTAAGGATAAAAAATATTCTCTATACGAGACATTGCTTAAAAACACCAAGGCCCGGATGAGAGAAGTAAACAACTTCATGCGTAGATATGATGCAGGAATATGATAGTAACAATGCTAGCTTGGTAATGGCGAACTAATCGAAATATGATTCAAATGAAATTATCGATTCAGCGATCTTTTGGTATTGATTTTTTAACACTGTTGTGAGTTCGTGTAAAAATTCCGATTTCACCGTTTTCTGCCTTTGAAAGTGGAATACTAAAACAGTTCTTGCTAATGTGTCTTTCCATTCTAAATGTCTGATATTTTATATATTATTTCATTGCTGATAATGTACATGAGTTTAATTCTTTAAAAGCAATATTTCGTCTCATCCTGCATAATTTTTGTTATTCTGTACACAGTGAAAAAATTTAAAAAATTACCGTACTGCATAGTAATGACATAAATAAATAAAAAAATTAATAAAAAATAAATTTAAAAAATAAATAAATTTATTAAAAATAAATAAAAAAAAATTTTAAAAGAAAAAAGAAAAAAACATAAATTTGATATTTAAACTGCTCATCCGTTCATATCGTAATGGTTTGTCGGATTGGTTTCTGAAATCATAGTTCTAATAACTACACATTTAGAAAAAATACAAGACTGCAAAGTAAATTTAATCAAATAAATGGTTTATATACCATGTTTTAAGGTATCATAATAAATTACCATATTTTACCTTATTTACCAAATTGTATCACTTATTATAAAACCATATTTCATTGTTAATTTTACCAAAATCACAACCAAAGAGCTTCGATTAAAATTACCGAGCTTTTTATTGCTCCCACAATGCCAGAAACACGATAAATTTTACCATATTCTGGTAGTATGGACTATACTTTTTTTTTCTCATTGCAGTATTTGCTTTTTTACATTATTTCTAAAATCATATTAATGCCTTAATGGTGATAATGTCTTAAATATTACAAACACCATTTTTTTGTTTAAAAAATTCTTTAATGTGTGATATTTTCATGTGTTTTTAATTATTTTAAGGATATTATAAAGTATAATATAAAAAAAAAATTGGTTGTTTAAGCTACCTAGTACCTACTTTTTTTGAATAATAATCAGTATTGTCGTTCTCTGAAATTTTCTACTTTTTTTCTCTTAACATGCTAAAACAATATTATTTTTTTGAAAAACCAAGTAATTATAATTTAAGCCAACTAAGCGCAATATGTTGACTGTTAATTTCTAACTGTAATTGGCATTCTGTAAAACTGGACTATATATTAAGCTTTTGACTCACCTAGTTTAAGAAGTTCGCCATTGCCAAGCTATTGGATGTATAACAATCATTTCTTTATTGAGCAAATAATCATACAAGGTGAGGCAAAACTTTAAGAAAAAGGAATATTCTAATTATTAGACGACAGTTCAAAATAGTTAATATGCTAATTTATAATAAGAATTTATGAAAGTTTATAATAAAAATGCATGCAAATTTATAATAAAAAAATAATATGATGTGCTAATTCATAATAAAAATGAAATGTGAGTCATTCTAATTAATATTAAAAATAAACTATGTACTTAAATCTAATTTGTAGTGAAAATTAATAAGATCATTTCATAATCGAAATGAATTGTGATATTTTGTGTTGTAAAGGAATTTTTTTCTTTTAAAATGATATATAAATATAATTTTTGTTATGAAATTTGTAGTGCTCTTTTGCCAAAAATATCTTCAAATATGTTATAGAATATAGGGCAAAACTAACAGCCGCCAACGAACATAGGGCGACTAAATATAACAAATGGCGATTTAAAAAATTTCTGCCATTCGTCATCCCGTCGCCAATTTTTTCGTCAGCATCTACATTTGGTCATAACTTTTTTTTTTAATAAATCCAAAGCTTACTAGGAATTATTAAGAATATTTTATAGTATTCGGGAAAATGTATTTCAAGGTAGTATTTTGTACATTGTTAGTATCAACAGCTTTTTTAACTGCTTAAAACTTCCAATTTTTAAAAAGTGTCCTGTGATAAAATGGTTAGAAGAGAAATTTCTCAATTTCGCCCTATATTCTGGAATTTTATTGTTCTGAAAAACTGTAAATGCACTGCTTTTGTTTAGAAAAATGTATTTGAAATAGAATTGTAATTTCTAATAAAATTTGAAAAATAAAGTTTATAATTTATTCGCGTTAATAAAAGTAAAATATGAAATTCATGTTATTAAGTTATATCATCCCTATTTTAAAAATTCTTTTTAATCCTTCCACTCGGCAACGACGTTATGATATATATATATATATATATATATATATTTCGGTTATCACGATTGGTAAAGGGAAAAACTTGAAATGTTAACTCTAACATTCTTTATTCTAAATTTAGAACTAAAATGCATGATATGAATAATAAAAGTGAGTGAGAACACGTTTCGTTTTAAGTAATTAACTAAACAAGAGAATTTAGTAACATAAAAAGATTTGTTAAAGATTTTTATGAATATGAACAATGACAGACGACGCACTAAATAAGTAATTTCCCTAAGAAAAGTAAACTCACGTGTAAATGGCAGCCTAAAAGCAAATGTATATTTTCAAGCTCAAATGAGTTGTTTGAAATTTGTAGCTGCTTGAATCGAAAATATTTCTTTTATCTTTTATGTCAGATGAACATATATTTTCCCAATTAGTTAATTTTAATTTTAGAAAACTAAAACTAAGATTGTTATCGTGATTTTTATAAAGAGTAAATGCTTTAGAAAAAAAAATTGATAAATAGCTTACAATATATATAATTAAAGCTAATAATGTGTTATCAATATATCGGAAATCGCATTTATTAATTAAAATAATTAGAATTACTAATTTCATAATAGNTATATATATATATATATATAATATCATAATAAAACCATATCAAACAAATACCCGCAATACCTCATTTAAGCTCGGTGGTATGACTAAAATAAGACAAACTGTTTTAAACAAAATAATTAACTTCTGTTTGCATCTACAATATAGTGCTACTGAAGAATAATTTATAAAAATTTTAACAATGACCGGTATTAGTTATTTTAAGAAACGAATTTGGCCAGAGCTTACATCCATTCAGAGGTATCTCTGATAAGTTTAATCCACAGAAGAAATCAGGTTTATTTCCGAGTGCTTGAGGTATTTCAGAAAATGCTTATGCATTGGACACTGCTTGGCACTCTTGGTAAGAACCCTTACGTCGAACTAACTCTCTGCCAAGTGGCTCGATTCAGTTATTGTGTAATTAAAGAACTGAAACTGTTTTTACAATTTTAGCAATGACGGCAAACATTTTTTCTTCCTAATCAGTAGTTATCTCAAAAGTATTGAGCGATTTCTATCTACAAAAATAGATGAAAAACATCTTCTTCATTAGAAACTGTTTACAAAACAGCAGTTGGGAGAGAAGATAAAAATTTACATTGTTTGCTTAACGTAGCACACGCCTTTCTACTAGGAATCTCATAAGATAAAAATGTAATCAATTTATCAGCTACTTTTTGTACAAAATGTAACAGTAAAAATGAACATAACAAATTGATTTATCAAAAAATTGTGGAAAACATTTTTCGTATTTTAACAGATAAGAAAACGTTTCGCTTAGTCATATTTTTAATGTAATAACTGCCGATAAATTTATCAAATTTCTACGACAGTGTTCTTTAAAGTATAAAAAAACAGGAATTTTGTCTGCCATAACTATTAAAAAAATAACTATGAAACACAATTCGCAGCAAAATAGATATAAGATAATACATTAATCGATCCTTCTGCTTTTGTATCACTACTGGTAAAGCAAATAACTGCACAGCTGTTAAACTAGTGAGACAAATACTACAATATAAAAATCTTATCACTTATCACATTCGCTTTAAAAGCCATTCTTAGAAGCTACTTGTTCCAAAACTCTATTTTAAATAGAAGTTTTAAGACATTTTTATTAAATCAAAAAGAAATTTTTAGTTTAAAACTGAAACTGCACACATAAAAGTGCGAAGGTAGGAAGGATAATAAGTGTGAAGTTTATAAATAGCGTAGAACAACTTAATAATAACATAAGTAGTCGTAGATAGATAATAAAGAAAGACTTCAAAATCTTTTGTATCACTTAGATAAACAGTTTCGGTCTGATAATGAGTCATTATTATGTTGTCATAGGCAGATAATAAAGAGAAAAATCAAACCCTTTAATACATCTTTCACAAAAAACATTTTTGTATATTTTAAATTAACCATTCTGAAAAGTCTTTTCGATTCTGAAAAATTCAGCGGCTTAAGTTTTCTGGTTTGAATGCTATCCCAAATTTGTGTAATAGCTCAAGGCGTAGAGCAGTAGCTGAATTCTGCCTAGCCACCGTACATGACTGCCTAACAAACCATCTTTATTGACTCAAAATTGTTTCTTTCACGATATGCACTCTGTGCTGGTCTGGATAGGTCATGGACTCCGTACATCTACTCCACTGTCCTGCTCTAGGCAAGACTTTTCTCGCCGAGCGTTATTGGGAGGCTAGAGATATCTTAGATCAGTGTTTCCCAAAGTGTGATACGCGTACCCCCAGGGGTACGAGAACAGTTTAGCGGGGGTACGCGTTCTTATGCGAAATATCGTGCAACAAACGACAATTTTATTTAAAAACAAAGGTAGCTATGAAAATTTACGATTACGTATTTTTCCATTGGCTATTTTTTGCAGAGTTAACAGTTAATAATTAATGGTGTCAACAGCCAGTTGTGACTTTTAACTTTTGTGCAATTTTTTTATAGTAAAGGTTTGCAATAAATTCAACTTATTTTGATTATTTTTATAAAAGATAATTTTTATCCTGTTATCACAGCAAAAACAATATCATCCTTCTCACTGATGCAAATAAGCTTATTAACACAACTTTGTACCAAGAAGGAAAAATAGACATATTTTTAAAGAAATACATTCATTTTTTTTATTAGTGGTACACAGCGTTACAAAAAATTTAGAAAGGGTACGCAAAAGTCACAAGTTTGGGAAACACTGTCTTAGATTAATAAACTCTGTTTCAGCATTTTTTGCTGTACTCTGTGTTCTTTCTTTTTAATTGTTTACTGCCGTAACTGTTCATAATCTGCCATTAGAAATAAAATAAAATAAAATTTTCTGGTTTTACTTCGATAAAAATGATAAAAACTAAGTTTAGTTGATTTTTTTTTAATTTTTCTTTACCACTTTTTAGACAGAGAAAAAATTTAAACACTATTAAAATAATGATCAACGTCAACCAATCTCCTCCTCAACCAACGAAATAGAATTACACGTTGCTCTGAAGTCATTGATAGGAGGTAGGATTACGAAATTCTCCTTTTTGTTGTTTTCAAAGTGTTCGTTCTTACCTGCGCCAAGTGGTGCCTAATGCGGGA